GTTGTAGAGATGAGATCTTGTCAAGTTGCCCAGGCGGGTCTCGAACCCACGGGCTCAGGCAATCCACTCACCTCGGCCTCCCAAAGTGCTGGGATTATAGGCTGAGCCACTGAGCCTGGCCACCCAGCTAATTTTTGATTTATTGTAGAGACAAGGTCTCAGCAAGTTGCCTGGTTGATCTGGAACCCACGGGCTCAGGCAATCCACTTGCCTCACCCTCCCAAAGTCCTAGGATTATAGGCTGAGCCACCGAGCCCAGTTATAGCTAACCCTTTCAAAGTCTCACCATGTACCATGTACTGTGCTGAGTGCTTTATATGAATTATCTGCTTTAATCCTAATAACAAAGTTTTGAGATAGACATGTGCATGTGTGTGTTGTTGTTGTTGTTGTTGGAGTCAGAGTCTCACTCTGTTACCCGGGCATGTTCACGGCCACCACAGCCTTGACCTGCTGGGCTCAGGCAATCCTTCCACCTCACCCTTCCAGGTAGCTGGAATCACAGGCGTGTGCCATCATGCCCAGCTAATTTTTTGGTTTACTGTAGAGACAAGGTCTCACCAAGTTTCCCAGGCTGGTCTTGTACCCCTGGGCTCAGGCAATCCTTTCACCTTGGCCTCCCGAAGAGCTGGGATTACAGGTGTGAGCCACTGCACCCGGCAGTAAGGTTATTATTCTCACCTTACAGATGAAAGTGAGGCACAAGGGGTTTAAGTAGTTTATTCAAAGTCACAGAGTAAGTGATAGAATTCAAATTCTGGTAGGTTGACTCTGGAATCAGCATTCAGAGTCAATAATATATACTTCCTCTATTACAAGAGGCTTAAGAGTTAGTATCTTCAGATCTTGTCTTTCTTTCACTCCATTTTCCACCTAAAATCCAAGTAACTTGTTCAAGGTCCTATAGCTATTAAATAACAAAAACTAGGAACTCAGGTTTCTAGCTTCCAGATATACTCCTTTCAATCAGGGAATGAGGGTTCAAATTTACATTTCTCCCCTGTCTGTTTGGTGGGGAGAAAACTAGTACAGAAGACAGACATATAACTAGACAAAGCATCAGACTGACTGTAACATATAATAGAGGTATATATTATGTACTCTGGGAACAATGAAAGCTAACACACGTTATAGGTTATGGAAGGCTTCATAGAGTGGATGGTGTTGGGTTAAACCTTGTGCAAGATTTTGAAAGCCAGGGTGGGCATGGCATTCCAGAGGAAAGGAACAGCAGAGTTGAAAACAAAGAGACTTAGAAGGAAACAGCTTATTTAAGGAACAGCCGCAAAGTTTGGTTCCCACATTGGCAAGTCCTCCATTACTCTGGGAACACATATTGAGAGAGACCTGCACTCCATTCAGTCAGTCTTCAAAGATGCATTTATTCAACATTTTGCCAATAGCAGAGACAGAATGGTATGCTAAGAAAGTTTTAGTGTCCAATCCCAGCTTTGTCACTAACAAATTGTGTGGTCTTGAACAAATGTCTTTCTCTCTGAGCCTCAGTTTCTCATCTATCAAATAGGAGAGTAGATTTATGATCTCTAAACTCTCTTCCTGCTTACTGTATTTGTGATGTTTACTGATGAAGGTGTTGAAAGAAAGGGGGTAAGGAGAGGGAAGAAACAGATTCCTATCATTTGGAGGCATTGAACACAAAAGGTGTTGAAGTATCCCTGACTTCCCTCCTTTAGAGTGATTGAAAATAACACTTGTAGGCCGGGCTCGGTGGCTCAGCCTGTAATTGCAGCACTTTGGGAGGCTGAGGCAAGTGGATTGCCTGAGCCCACGGGTTCGAGACCAGCCCAGGCAACTTGG